TTTTTCGCATACAAAACTCTTATGAACTCACAACTTAATTGTTGATACTTTTTCAAAACCACTTGTATTTTCAGAAAATCAGTAAACAAGTAACCAAAAGGGTTTTGAGGATGGGGCATCACCGCGTCACGTTATTAATTTTTGAACATATGTAGTTAACAAGTAAACAATGTTTTTTGTATTATGTAAACTTTTCAATTATCAATGCAATGGTTGTATGGCTTTGATCACTATTATTCATTTATTATAATATTGTACATGAAGTTATCCATCCCAAGACGTTTTCACCATTCTGTTTTGGGGGTGTGACTGTCCCTAGTCAGAGAGTATGGATTAAGCATAGTCATACATCCTTAGTCTGAGAGAATGGATTAGGCATACTCATTTATCACTGGTCCGAGTGTATGGATTGGACATAGTCATTTGTCATTGATCCGAGAGTATAGATTAGACATAGTCCTTCATTCTTGATCCAAAAGTATGTATTAGATATAGTCATTTATTCTTGATCCAAGAGTATAGATTAGGTAAAGCCATTCATTTCTTGATCCGAGAGTATGGATTATGTCGTTGTATATGATTAAAGTGTGAGGATTTATGGGAGAGGGTAGATTGCTTATACGAGGTCAATTTGTATATTACGGGTTTTAAGATATACATATATAATATATATATATATATATATATATATATATATATATATATATATATATATATATATACACTATAACATTGTGGGATTGAAATCACTATGTACTCATCAGGTTTCCCAACCTGACCCACTCAGCTTCTTTGTATCACATGTAGCGATACAAAGGTACATGAATGATGAGAGATTCAAGTAGATGTATACTATTAGTCTAAGACACTATAAAACCTGTTTATGCTTATGTTTTGTATCACTTATGCCATCCCAAGTTTTAATGAATTAATGGAAAACTTTTCTTTAGAAATACTTTTGTGGGAAAAAGTCTACATTTATATATAAACGATTTAAAAAAAAAAAAAAGCATAAATAAAAAGTTTTAAAATGGCCGTAAAAAATAAGGATGTCACAAATTATGTCAAAAACAAATCAAAGCCAAAAGGTTCAATTATAGATGATTCTGCTGTGGGTGAAGCTTTGACATTCTGCTCTATGTATCTTGAGGGTATGCAAACCAAATTTAATCGTGTTGATAGAAATGATGATCTTGGCCTTCCAAAGAGGCAATTTTATGTGTTCTCATCACAATGTCTACCAATTTCCACTAAGAAGCTAATTGAACTTTGTAAAGAGGCCAAAAAATCATTGTATTGGTTTGTACTAAACAATTGCAACGAAGATGAGATGAAAGGCTATAATCGTAGGTTTTGTGATCTATTAGCTACTTTTTTGAAAGTGTTATGATATCTCCAAACTATTCTAATTGTTTTGTCCTACATCCAACGTATTCAAATCAGAATTTCCCAAAAGTGATTGAAAACAGAATTCCCTTCATGGTTGAAGAGAAAGGTAAATACCTTATAAATTTATAGTGTAAAACTAATTTATATTATTACTTAAACATACAATATTATATTTCCTTACAAATTTGTCGTCTCCAAAAAGATCTGCCTTCAGACTGTACTAACAAATTAAAGGCATTGACACATGGTCCGTTAAATGCATATTCTTATAATGCCTGCATAGTAAATGGTGTTCGATTTGTTGTGCTTAGTTGTGATCTTCAACACACTACTCAAAAATAATGGTATTCTTACATTAGGAGTTGACGATACACCATTCTATGGTTAATTAGAGGTCATCATAGAGTTGCATCGTTTACATGATTATTCCATTGTACTCCTTCGTGGTAAATGGATCAATGCGTCATGAAGTAATGGAATTTTAATTATTGATGCCAAAAATAATATGGTTGTTCGATATACCAATCATGAATGGTATGATGGTAAGACATGGTATGATGATCAACAATACATCTTAGCCACACAAGCTAAACAAGTGTTTTATCTCTAAGATCCTACTCGAAACAATAATTGGAGAGTTGTGGAAGATGTTCGTCATAAAATTTTTTGGATCATCCAAGTATCAGTGTTAATGAGATAGATGTCATGAACAACACTTGATTAAATGATTTTTCCTTGGTTGTCGACTTACGCGATGTTGGTGGTGATACGTACTCTGATGACGATGGTGATATATACTCTTTAGACATTGATGACGATGGTGAATCAAGTGTGCCTCCTACTATAAACGTTGGCGATTTCATTAATGAGGATGATGATGGTGGTGATACATAATGATGATGATTTTAGAAATGATGACGAATTCATTAATGATGATGTTGTACATGTATATTGTTCTAGTGATGATTCTAATTGACGATATGTTACAGTTATTATACATTTTGATAGCTTAAAATTGTTTATTAGTTTTGTTCAAAGTACGTTTAGTATATTTTGTAATATTTGTTAAACAGATGATGAATTCATTAATGATGATGTTGTACATTTATAATATTTGTTAAACATATGGAAATACATGTTGCAAGGGGGCATGGAAGAGACAGCATGTAACACCCAAGATTTTATACCAAATACACCCCAAAAATTTCATTTCTCATTTAAAAATTTACAACATTTTTGGTGTACATTATCATTTTGGAATAGAAGTAGTTATCACAAGGATCGTATTGGCCTCAAGTACATGATCGGACCGGGTGTCACAAATATAAACGTGCAAAACAAATCATCATAATAACATAAGCATCATGGCTTAGTGAATAACGACTATACTAACATAATTAGATAAATCATATAAATCACATAATAACTTATTTTCTAGCATATATATGTAGCCATTAATTTATTTCAATTCGAGGTGTTGTCATAACCAATCTTTAAGTAATAATCTATTCCTCATTCATAATCTACCTCTAAATCAATGATCTATTCTCAATTAGCGATCTAATTCTCAACAATGATTTATCTTTCAATCATAATCTCTCTCTCTCTCTCTCTCTCTCTCTCCCTCTCTCTCTCTATCTCTCTCTTTATCTCTCTATCTATCATAATCTTTCTATTAAAATTAATCACTCTCTTTACTATTATTTACTCTCTGAATGGGAATTAATCTCTCTATCAAAATCTATCACTCGATCGTGATCTATTTGTGAATCAGAATTAATTTTTCATTATAATGTATTTCTCAATAATGATTTAACTCATAATAATGAATAATTTCTCAACAATAATCAATTATCTAGATCTATATATAATCATACATTGCATATCACATGTATCATAAATATCACATATATCACAAATCTAATATCACAATTACTCAGAAATGATATATCTTTTAATGTAATCCATCTCCCAATTATAATCTATCGTATCAAAGATTTATCTCTCATTTATGAGTTATCTTTCTATTAATAATTCGTTTCTCAATCAAGATCAATCTTTTAATCATATATTATTCTCTCAGAATAATCAACCTATCAACTATCAATCGATTACTCATTAATAATTAATCATTTAAATCATATAATGTATATCACAGATAACACATCAATAGATCATAGTGTAGTGTTACTCACCTAGTTATTCAACATACTTATTCTAATTCTGATTTTAATCCTTCTCTTCCTATCAACTCGTCACATGGTAACACCTAATCATTAAATAACAAGTGTCTCAAAACTTATCATAACTCACTACTAGTTACCCTTCGAGACCTCTTGTCATCAAACTAATCAAATATCATAATATAATCACAATAGGCTTAACCCGTAAGTCATTAGCTAAATCTCACATATAATGTATTTCTCAATAATGATTTAACTCATAATAATGAATAATTTCTCAACAATAATCAATTATCTAGATCTATATATAATCATACATTGCATATCACATGTATCATAAATATCACATATATCACAAATCTAATATCACAATTACTCAGAAATGCTATATCTTTAATGTAATCCATCTCCCAATTATAATCTATCGTATCAAAGATTTATCTCTCATTTATAAGTTATCTTTCTATTAATAATTCGTTTCTCAATCAAGATCAATCTTTTAATCATATATTATTCTCTCAGAATAATCAATCTATCAATTATCAATCGATTACTCATTAATAATTAATCATTTAAATCATATAATGTATATCACAGATAGCACATCAGTAGATGATAGTGTAGTGTTACTCACCTAGTTATTCAACATACTTATTCTAATTCTAATTTTAATCCTTCTCTTCCTATCAGCTCGTCACATGGTAGCACCTAATCATTAAATAACAAGTTTCTCAAAACTTGTCGTAACTAACTACTAGTTACCCTTCGGGACCTCTTGTCACCAAACTAATCAAATATCATAATATAATCACAATAGGCTTAACTCGTAAGTTGTTAGCTAAATCTCACATAACGGGTTCATAACAACGTCATATCACGAATGCCCGTAACCCATAATCGAGTCTAATATATCTCAATAAATATTACATATCAAAATAAAAAATTAACAGTGTAAAAGATACCTCAATGAATCTCGTACTCGGCCCCGTTTCACCTATACAATAATATAACATCTTCGGTATAACCTCTCTAGAACGGTTCCCAAGCATCATCTCCAATCACATGTCAAAAACTCTCCAAATGACACAAAACACTTGTTTTTATACCCAGGGATGATTCATGTCGTGACCATACATGTGTCACGTTGTGATGATTAATTAAACCCTAATTTCACCGAGTGTCGCACTCTCTAGCCACATGTCTCAATGACTCATCTTATTTCACATCGTGA